TATGACTCAGAAGCTTTGTGAGAAATATGGCAAATAAATCCAGAATTAGTGATTCCATAAACATTAATTTGGAAGCAATATTAACAAGTCCATAAAGTATTTCTGGGCAATAAAGAATAAATAACACCTATTATTAATGTAATGGTAAAAAAAATGTTACTTACCACACCTTTGCAATACCCTAGTTTAATGCATTGTTAAACAGTATCCCAGAATGGATAAACACTGAACAGGAACTCCAGATGTAGAGATATTTCCCTGTGGTTTTATCAGCAGCAACATGGTTAAAGCTAGCCCAATCCTGATCCCAGCATGGACAGGGCCTTTGGTTTGCTCTGTTTGGTTTTTGGATGAATAATAACACTTATGCAAGCTTCACACTGGGCTTGGTGCTTTGATCAAATCACTTTACAGTGGGCAGAAAATCTGCCTCTAATGTTTGCACCTTAGCTTTCCTTTTTAAGTAAACCACTGAGATGAGACCCTGCCAATTTAGCCTTGAATGCCACTTTTTCCACAGTTGTACAGATTGTCCCCTGCAGGGCCTTCCACCAAGACAAAAACAGGTCTCCTCCCACCCATGCCAACAAATTATCCAGGAGCCTGCTCTGCACATCCTCCCTACTTTCCCCCAAGCAGCATCTCTGCTCAGCCCAAATGCAATGTGGAAGGAATCTGTGGTTACTGGCACCATATGTTAGGAGCTTTTAAGGTGTGCTAGCCCACTTCTGACAGTAGAACTCCCAGGGAGACACAAAGCTTTCTTCATTGCCCTTTCTCCACCCAGTCAAGTTACTTTGGGTGAGAAATTTGGCCATACCCAGCAGGTTTCTCAAGAAAGCCTACACAGCACAGACCAGCACTGGCTGAAAATGAGTTTAAAAGCCTTTTCTACTCACTTATGTTGAAGGTGATTGATTTTCTCACTGGAGCTCAGGTCAGCTTGGTTTATGAAAAGGAATTGCTGATGAAATTCTGGAGGAACAGGCAGATCCATGAAGGGCTCTTGCTTTGTCTCAAATCCCCATGGCCCCCAGATGCTTACCAAGTCAGCATCCTTTCACTTGGGCAGTAGCACTCCAGCCTGATTGATATGTGCCTCCCCAGTGTGAAAATTTCTGTTATATATGATTGAGTCTCCCTCTAGTGACTAAATGCATTTTTGAAAGCCATGCCCCAACATAATTTTTAGAGTCTGTAAAATATGTATCTACCTATGATGTGTGATTCAACTCCCTTATCATTCATTCCTAATTATGCACCAAGGTATGAATTGGATTTTGCTTAAAACTGTCCAAATTTTAGGAGAGTTATAGTACTAAGCAAGCATGCTTAACTCTCTATTTAAATAAAGAAGATAATATCTGACCAGCAGGAATGATAGATATTGATTAAACATTCATACCATTTATTTTGTACTGGCAACTAATCTTTGTCTGAATATTTAAATTCAGACAGTAATATTTAACAGCATCTCTACTAAATTTATCACTTGTGCTTACTACAGATATGAGAATCACTCTTTATTATTTGGTAAGCAAGAAGACATCTACTCATCCTCACCAACAAAACAGTGGCGCAAATTTGGTTTAAAAGTCATAGAAAGAAAAAGGGAAATCATGTCCAAAGTTTCATCAGCTGAAGATAAGAGTGGAGATGAGATGGACATACAAGAGACAGAAAGTTTGAAGCTTCACAAAAGGACTGCCATTCTTTCTGGTCTCTTCTCATCTTATCCCATAAGCAATAATCCATTTTACAGTGCTAATAGGTCTTTTACAGAAAAGAGGAAAAGACAATGTGACTTAAAATCTTCAGAAACTGATAAAGCTTGTAAGTAGGACTGATGGCCGGGGCTAGAAGTCAAGTCTGTCAGGATTCTTGTGTCATTCTTACCTAATTTCAAAAAAGTGTCATACCAGTATTTTATTTTGCCTGAAATATTTTTATTTTTTAATACCAATAAAAAATCATAATATGACTGCAAAAGGTAGAGAGAGAAGAGCCCTTAAAATTTTAGTTAGAATTCACTGTGCCCTTCCTCTGGTTTCAAGTTTTGTTTTTCATTCTTGGTCAGCTGCAGTTCAGCTTCTTAGCTCTATTTTGGTCCTGTTACAAAGTAATATCTAAATTTAAGTACAGAACCCTCATCCCAGGATGTTTGGAGCTTCCTTTATCACAAAATCATAGAACCCTAGAATATGCTGAGTTGGAAGGGACCCATGAGATCATCGAGTCCACATCTTGGCTGTAGTGTGAATGTGTGAAGCAGTAAATGTTTGGGGGTTTTATCTCTGAAGAAAACAAATTTTTAATAATATTTCCTTTTCAGTCATCTACATTCACCAATTTAATTTTGCAGCTTCAAGTCACTGGCTACAGCAATAGTATGTCTGTACTAGAAAAAAACAGGGAAGGATAAATAAATACCACCTGTTTATAAACTATGCAAAAACTACAGCTAATCAAAAGTACTGCCAAAATCTAGCAAGTGTTACGGTGCTCCATCAATAAAGTACACCCCAGCTCTGCCTGTTACTGTTCTTTACCTGCCCATAGGTGGCACCAGTCATATTCGTAACACCTCAGTCTATGCCTGCCAACATCCCTGCAGACCTCGACCGTAGCTTCCATTCTGGTTTCTTCCTTACTGTCCGTGGATATGTTAATCACCAATGTTAAATACATGCAGAAGCAACTTCAGACAAGCTAAGCATGAAATACTATTCTATCTGCCACGTCGCACATCAATACCTGACGATACAGACATGTCTTCAATTGATAAGGCCAAAATAGTAGCAAGTAACAGTCTGAAGCATAGTTCTTAGTAAACGTGGCTTTAACAATGTTAAGGTATACTTAACATTGTTCTGGCCTTGCCGCTGCCAAAGAGAAGCAGCAAACTCAGAGTCCTGAGGAAGCCCATTTCAACAAAGTACACCCAAAATCTGACAAAGTGCAGAATTGACTATAATTTGTGCCAAAGACCCCTTTAGATATTAAGCACTATGTTAAGTCACAGATGTTTTTTTTCTGTCCCACAAGTTCCAGAATTTTGGTAAAAATCAAAAAAACTGGAAAAGAATGCTGTTCAAGAAGAATAATGAGTAGAAATCCCTAAAATTAAATTGTTAAAATATTAATGTAAATAATATTATCTCTTCTTTTGTTGTTGTTGTTGTTAAATATTCACACTTTAGACCATAAATTAACTAAATACTGTGATAAAATAATTGTCTTGAATTATAAAATAGTAAAATATTTGTCTGAAAACTATCAAAAGGGAACATTTCAAGAAGACTTTTTTTCCCCAGAACTGCTTCAAAGTAGATCAGAATAATAAGAACTGACCTCTCTTACAAACAGGTTCTATTGTTTTTTTTTCAATGTACCTACATTTTCCAGAAGAAAAAGCAAAGAATTAAAATTATAATATAGGATTTATTTTGTGTCCTACTACCCTTTCTCATGATCTGCCTATTTTTCCCTTTTTTTTTTTCTATTTATTTCTTTCAAAGTTTACTTTAATTCTGAGAGTCAAAATGTTGGAGAACAGATGTATAATTATATACCTCATTCCATCCCTCTCTTCTCCAAACACTGGTGTTTGCCTGGGCCTTACTACATCCAGAAAGAACTACAAGGAAGACTTTATTTCAGACACATGCAAAACTGCTCCAGACAGCCCAGGAACTGCCTCAGCTTGCTCTGTCCACCTCTTGGACAGAGGTCTTGAGAAAAAGCCCAGCACTTGAGAAAAATCAGGGAAGAGCTGCATCATCTTTATTATATCTATCAAGGGAAGGACTCATTTACCTAATTTTACACACCTAAAATTAAGATGAGCACTTGAAAGCACCCATTTAGAGTGGCTCAATGTTCAGTGGAGAGTAATGATCTATCTCAGTCTAAAGTAATTTCTGTGGGTCAAATTGTTCTCCAAAAAAGTGAGTACCTGCTGAAGCAGCCCACAGAACTAGCTTATAACTCAGCATGTCACATTTATCTGAGAGTAAAGACCCTGCACATGTACCCTAAATGAAGGATCTCCTTTTGGGATACAGGGCACACAAAGGTAGCTGTGTTTCTACTTCATGTCTATCCTCACCAGCCAATTGCGATCTGCATGATTTTAAACCTTGGTCCTTCTTCATGTCATTGTTTGGGTGGGTTGTTGCATCCTGTGACGCTCTGCCCTTTACCCTTCTCCTTAGCCACCAGAGCAAAGATAAATGTGTACTGCAATTGCCAGGCTTTTCTTGATAGGCCCAGAAATATTCTAAATATAAAACACTGTATATACTATAGCCTAACACATTCAAAAATTAGAAAGAATTTTCATTCACAAAGGCTAAAGAATTGTAAATTATTCCTTTTGCAACATTACATTAATTCACTTTTCAGTTATTTCATTTAAATTATTAGTTATTGCACAACTTACTTTTCTCATTTAAAAAGAGATGTTTTAACACATTTCAGCTCTGTTAAACTACCTTTTACACATGAATTAGTGTGAATTTTATTGCTTTATTTTCCCAGATTATAAAAAGAGTTCTACTTCACAAATAAAACTGCAGGATGGATTTATTATTTACAGTCCTATCCAAGCTTTCACATCTACTTTATATGGGTAAAGTGTTTAGGTTTCCAATGTAGTCCAGCCACATGACTCAAATCAAACTTGTAATTGCCTCTTTAGGATTTACAACTATTATTAAGAGTTGTGCTTTTATGTTCTCTTTTGTTTTGCTTGAATCACTTTCTCAGGTCTATGAAGTACAGCTGGCACAATAAAAGTTTTTTCAATGCATAACCAATGGAATGTATATTTCTTCCAGATATGTAATACCAAGGTGAAAATTATTAATCTATGAAAATGGTAAAATGGTCTTTTTCAGCTACCTATTCTTGTTCCATACTGTGATACTTGAATAAAATTATCCTGGTAATACAAGAATTAGCATTAGAAAAAGCCTATACAAGCATACTTTTTTACCAATTTAGTCTCCTTTTATGTATCATTGACATTGATGCTATTGGATCATATTCTCAAATCCTTTAGGCCTCAGAGTCATGCTTCGGGCATACATGAAATCACCAAATGCCTGCAAAGAAATTGAAAAATTAAACCATTCAGTTTTGGCAACATGAACTGGTCTTCAAGTACTAACCTGATTAATAATTAACTAATACATTTTTGTTCCCTCAGATTGATTTAGTATTCTTCTCCAGTTAAAGCCTGACTCTTCTGGAATTGGTGGTGGTTCTGAAGGTGTTCTTCAATATGAACCAAGAATTGGACTCTGGCCTTCAGATAACATTTATGACACACTACCTTCTAAAATCAAAAGTAAAAGAAAGTAAAAAACAAGGAACATGTCAGTAAATACTTTTTGGTGCAAGATTCTCTAAATAATAATGTATAAAAATATTGTAGGTATACCAATATAAAACTGTGGAGCCAGCTTAAACATGGTGTTGCCAGATGTCATGTTTTTCAGGAATTTTCACAATATTTGGTGTTTATCTCTGAAAGTTCCATTTCAGGGTTTAAATTATTACATTAGTCTCAGAGGCAAGACCTCAGATAAAATGGGTAATAGTTGTGAATACGTTTTGAAGCCAGCACTAGCAATTCAGATCCTGGATTCCTACATTCTGTTCATGTTATATGTAGTACATCACATAGCCCTGTGTTGTTCCAGAATGACTGACTTTATCAGGCATGTAAGCTGTCCATAAAACATAGCAGAAAGCCTCTCATAGACACGTTAATATATTAAGGAATGACCCCACCATCATAGGGGTGAGTGGACTTCTTACACTGCCCACCCAGTAAGTTTGCTCCAACATCATGTACAAGACAAGGTTTGCTTGTGGAAGTATACATAAAGATGGAATCTCTAGTAGCTATAAGATGTCTCTCCTACACTCTGTATATATGTATTATAAATAAGTTTATTGGAACAGAACTTGCATCAAAACAAATGTGGTTTGACTGAAAGCTACTGATATAGTAGATTTGCTTTGTCTCAGTAGAGTGGAGGCTGTCATACTATCCAGAACCAGACAATACTCAAATTTCTTCTTTCTGTCTTTATTAACTTAATTACGACATTCCGAATTCTGGAGCTTATATGCATATTTATAAATCCAAGACTCACTCCTGTTAATGCCTTTAAATAAATAGTTAATGTCCACAGAAATGTCAAGCCTTACTCACTGTACATTTAACAACATGCCTTAGTTTGAAAGACAGGTGTCTTCTAGGGAAGTCAGGAGCCTCCCTTGGAATTGAAAATATAAACCCCTTCCCTCAAAATTTTTAGAATTTTGAAATTAAGGTTATGGCAGTGGCAGCAAATTCCTTTCCCCAAGCAGCAGCTCTGACCATTCTCCTCCTCCGAAGCCCAAAGACAGAGAGGTAACAGCTGCCCCAGCCCTGCCCTTTACTTGCCCAATTTTACAGTTTCTTTCCCCTCAGAGAGAAACTCCCAGAGGAGTGCAACCAGATCCCTCCTCTCCTGAGCTTGATCACTTCTTTTCCTTCTTAAATGCCCAGCCATTAATGCTTCCTAGCAACTTATGGGAAGAAATTTTGTAAGTAAAAAGGAGCAAAAGGAAAGAAACCTAATCCCCCACACACACAACATAACACAAGTAAGATATTTTGCATATTCAAACATGGTCATATAGGTAGCTAATACTCACTAGAATGATTTTCCATCTGTCTTGTACATTGTCATCAAAAACAAGTGTAGCAAGAACATTCACAAGTGCAATATGTCCCATCTCTTTTCTAGAACAAAGGATATACATCAGGTTAGAACAATGATCATTCAAGGGAAGAAGCCATCAACCAAAGCCACTAAACTAAGAGAAAGTCCTTGGAATGTTCTGTGATATTCACTTTCAACATATATATTAAACAGACAGCTTTATATTTGCTAGTCCTACAGATATTTCTGACAATTCTTCCACACTATGGAACTCTTTTTCTCACTTTTTTTCTTTAATCAAGGCTCTCAATGTGTTCATATAACTCTGGAAGACCTGACGGTACTGTAACTGGTAGTAATCTTCCTGAAATACCTCAGTGACTGAAAAAATGGCATTATTTGGCAGATCTCAAGGAGTTTTTCAAAAACACCTATTTTTTTAAACTTTTACTGCTAGTTGCAAAACATCATGCTCAGATGGCTTTAGGCAGTTTCTTCTGTTCTCAACTGATTTCTCAGATCTGGCAACTTCAAACAGTAAATACCCTGGATTGCTTATCCCTTTCTAGTACTTAGGTCCTAACAGTCCTCAGCCATTTTTGAAAATATACGAAGGGTCTTCTTGCAACATTTACTACTTAAGAGACAGAAAAACCCACCTGACTTGTTAGTAAAGCCTCACTCTTCTTGAGAAGTGACATTTGGCTCCTATATTCCTGCTGGTCCTGGAGGTGTTAAGAAAACACCCAGGTCTGACAGTTGGCAGACACTTAATCAGTCACATTCCCAGTGCCAGACACTTTCACTGCTGGGACTGAAACTTCTTCACGGTAGGTGGCTGCAGGGAACCAATGGGTGCCTTGCTTTACACATCCCAATCATGCAGTGAAACCAGGTTTCCTTGTTGGTTGGAACACAGGTTTACCATACCAGAGTCTCAGATGTCCATGAAGCAATTTATTCCTATCACAGTAACAGAAAAATCAGCTCAAGCTGATGCCTCCAAGGAGAACTCCCAACAAAGAAACCCGCTCACAATCTACATGTGGGAAAGTCTTGCTTTCCTTGAGTCTTTGGCTCCTGCTGTGTCTCTCAGTGTCCATTCACTTACCTGGCCAGTAGTCTTTGCACCCTTTGTTATGCAAAGGATTGTCAGTTCACAGCCTCTTGTCTCTCTGGGCTCTCACCCAGAGCTCAATATGCATCTTGAACTGCACTATGCAAACCAAGCTACCTGCACCAGGTGTATTGCTCAACACAAAGTTGGACTTTGGATGTTGAAAGTGCCATGAATCCAAAGTGCCATCCATGCCATGAATTCTTCTCTATCATACCTGACTCAAGAAGAGGTTTTTTGTACCGTCCCAATAATAGTCCATTCCCACTGCATCCCTGTCAAAGGCTAAAATCTCTAATATTGTGGCAATACTTGTATGTTTATATTCAAAACCACTTTTTAAAATTTTCTTTAAAAAAATTATTTCATATAAATTAAAGGATAGTTCTATTACAGTGAAAAGCTGGGGCTAGGATAGAAAGGAAATTTCCTAAAATTATTTTTCCATCAAATGTTTTATAAAGCCCTGTAGTGTTCAATAACCCAAAATGTGTTCTTCTGTCACCCTCAGCCCTCTCTTACCACCATCACATCCCAGCACGAGAGGATGAGAGTTATAGAATGAAATGCTTTTGTCACTCTGACATATCTCATCCTCTCTATGAAAATATGTTTACCCCATCTAGCTCATGCTATCAGTCTGAGACTTGGTTTGCCAAAGTTTAGGTCAGTTCAAACATTTCCAAAATAGTTCCCTAGTTTTGACTGTGAAAAACTTCAGCAATAGAACTTCAGGCACAGCTGCAAGTTGGACAGTGTGTCTGTGAAGCTTCTAACACAACAATCATAGGATAGCTGCACTACATTTCAAATTGTGCTGTTTCAAAGTAAATTTCTTTCACAGCACAATAATTAGGGTTATTATATATACAGCATTGTCAGTATTTGCAGGTACTACAGGGGTACACACAGAAAACAGACTTATGGAAGGATTGTTAATTTATTTTACCAGTGGCATATAATTGTTCTTTAGCTCTTCTCTCTTTGAAGAAAGAGGCATGAGGGAAATATGTACAATATGTCTTTCTATCATTATTGAAATTAGATATTTGCCTAAAGACTTACAGCATCATTTGTAATGCTCCACTCTCTGAAACTGCTACTTTAATCAAGTATAATACAGGAAACAAGATGTACAAAGCTGGAAGGAAGATAGCACATTCAACCATGCTTGCCCTAGTATGAGTTGACTCTCACAAGAAGGCCAGAGTGGCAGGTTCTGGAGGCTGAAAGACAAACACTTAGCCTATAAATGCTGTATGGTGGTTCATGCTCTATATACCTTCCCACCTAAACCACTGCAAAGCTTCTGTCATTCACAGCCATCATCAAAAAAGTAGAGGACAATTGAATCTCTATTCTAGTACTTACCTAAACATCTGTGCTGAAGCAACCATCAGAGAAGATCTTTAAAGTCCATTGTAAACATAATTATCTTGTTTTATGGCCAGATCTTCCACTAACTAGAAACTCAGCTCCCACAGGATTCCAAAAGACTACCAGAAAATCTCTTGTCATAAAAATGGTTGTATGATTTGGATGAATTTGCAAAACTTGTGTTAGTGAGCCTCCTTCTGCCATGACCAATATTAGTGGACCCCTGAAGCTTTTTATCCCCTGCACGTGGTACACATACATAAGAGATGTGACTCTGGCATGCACAGCCATGGCAGTCATGTTCATGATCCAGAGGGAAAGCATACTTCAGCCTGAACTCCTTGAAATGACAATTCCCTCCTTCCATTTTGTCATGGTCTTTCCTTCCCTCAGAGACTCTCTATACCATGTCTCATCAGTAGATGATGGATGAGAAGGGAAACCAAGATGTTCTACTGCATATGCATGAGAACAAGACAGAGAATTAACAGAGAATGAGGTGGAAATTGGTTGTGCAAGACCTACATGGTTTCTCTGCTCTTCTCTGTGAGCTGTCTTCACATTCAAATACCTTCTAGTACTGTGGTTGAAAGAAAATTTCTTGAGGTTGAAAGAAAATTTTACCTTTGCTAGAAGTCTCCTGGTTAAGTCTGCTGTTGCTGGGAAACTCTGTAGCCTTTCCTCAGGGCTGAACTCTGTGGTCTTCATCTTTAATTAGGTTTCCCTTGACCTCTGCTATATAAGGCTTGCCACTGGAAGTCTTCACAGGTTGAGGAAGATAATTCCTTGTGTAAGACCTTTCAATAAATCTCTTTAGAAATGCTAAGACTAAGAGAGCTGCCAGGACCTACAATAACAGGATTTTCTGCAGAATACTCGAGAGTCGCTTCCAATTAATGTATTTTCAATTTTGCCTCTTTTGTCTCTCTGACATTGCCTCAGTTCAGACCATTCCCAGTCATGAAGATTTTACACACAACACAAGAAGGGTAAGTCTTTTCACAAAGAGATCTCTTGCTTTCTGCAACTCAGCTAGGCACCCACATGCAAGCAGCCTGTCCCTCAGCTAAACAGGCATCATGTATTGGGCACAGACACGATGTATTCCCAGTCAAAAAGTCAATGAAGTTTTGTGGCACTTTTACTTCAAATCAGTTTCAGCTGGAAACAGTTGTGTTTTTGCAAAAAACTTACCACAATACCTGCCTCAAGGCGTCTTCCTACAGAGCTTTCCCCACAAACCTGAACTCCCAGATCTCTCCATGGTCAGCAATGAGAAACAGGAACTGTCAGACAAGGGCATAGTCCAGGATGCTGCTGCTAGTGCCCAGAACTGCCCACTAAAAAAGTTTCTCTCTCTCTTCATTGATGATAGGTGGTACCTTGGAAGGTGAAACTGTATTTTGGCAGTTGCAGAAAGCTGGGTCGAAGCTTTATTGCAGCTTCACTTTGATAACTGCTTTTCCTAATAATATTTTGCATTACTCCTAACTGGCCACAATATTAGCCAAACACTGTGCAGTAGGGCTTTCATCTATTAGAAAGGAGGCTTTCTTCCACCTTCCTGTTTTTAGTAATAGGAGGATTTCTTCCTGTTTGCTTCAGCCAGGAAGTTGCATAATTTCCTGAGCTTTCCAGCATTGAGCCACAAAATGGACAGCATCTTCAGAGCTGGAGTCAAAGGGAAAACCTCATCAGGAATGTAGAAGTCACTCAGCTGTGAAAGGAAATGGTGTGTCACTTGGGGTTAGCTATCCCGAGACACCATGGCCTGCAAACCATAAGTTGTTGGTGCAGCAGACACTCATTCCCTGAAATCTTCAAGGGTCCTAAGGCAAAATTTCTCTGCTTTCTGGGATTGTTTTTGTGGTAATTGTTTGGTTGATTGTTTTGGTATCTAACAGCCTTCCTTTTTATTTGAAGTGGCCTTAAAAATTTCTGTTGTCATTACTCAACATCAGAGAGTTTTTCCTCCATGTCAGAGAAGACAAGCTGCTACCTTACTTTTCTACGTCCAACTCACATGCTCAAAGGTTTCCCACAACAACAGTCCTGCCATGTGGAGCAAATTTAGGAATTTGTGTGTTATGGCGTGGCTCTCAGTGGAGAAATATTTAATTGGGAGAATATGCCTCCAAATCATATAATACAATATGAAGGTGTATGCTAGGAGTACTTTTTCTGGCTCTGGCCACAGATTATTTTGATTTAACCTGCTACACTTCGTACAATTCATTTTCTCTCCAAAGCAAAAGAAACTCACTCTTTTGTACAGACCTTCTTGACATTATTCCATCTTTCAAATGACTGATTACATCATCACTTTCTATTTATTTCCTGGTAAGCACTGCTACAGCACTTTTAAAATTCTTCCTTCCACTTTGGAACATGCTGCCCAACACAAATACAGTCAAGAAAAATCTCCTAAAGGAATTGTTCTTCCAGGCTTGTGTTGTGCTTTTCAAGAAGCACCCTCACAGTTTAAAAGTGAAGTAAAGATTTCTGGACCATGAGGATACTAGGGGTTTGTCATGAATGTACCCTAGGGGCCTGTGGTCTGCTTCAGTGGTAATAGCACAGCTACAT